ATATTATTATTATTATTAATATATCATTATTATTATTATATCATTATTATTATTATATTATTATTAGTATTATATCATTATTATATTATTATTATTATTATTATTATTATTATATCATTATTATATTATTATTATTATTATTAATATTATTATATTAAAATAAATAAAATGTGAAACATATAAAGCAGTATTCAGCACAGCACAAAAGCAGAAGCGTCCTTTTTACGAGCTGATGTGTTACAAGTGTTTCTGACAATAACAGCAGCTTGTGTTCGGCAGCAGAAAGACAGATGTTAAATCACTGCACAGTCTCTTTACTGTGTGACGGACAGAACAAAAGCTGCCGTGAGCGAACAAACAGAGACAGACCTGACGCTCACAGACATAAAACTACCATCTGTGAGGGAAAAACTACAGAAATCAAACACACAAAAGAGAAACCTCTCCCTCCTGCCGCCATCACAACCTTTTCATTCAGAAAAACACTCGTATGTATATTTAGACTAGGTCTTTTAAGTGCAAATGCCCTTATTTCACATTTATGATGTTTATTTGTTTTCTTTTGTGAACTTTCACATTAGGATGGAAATCCAGCTGCTTTAGTGGAGTCTGCATTACAGATCCTCTAGTATATGAGAATATAAACGCGTGTGTGTTTTACCTCCACTCATCCTGTGGGCGCTTCTGCTCAAACTTCTCCCTGACGTGAGACACGCCCTCATCAGGGTGCAGCCAGTGAACGTCACCCGACGGCACATGAGTGAGACGCAGCCCGAAACACACCACATGCTGCACTTTATGAATGTCCACGATCTTCTGAATGATTCCCTGCGGACACAAAACACACACACACACACACCATCATAAAAACACCCATAATATCATAATAACGCCATACATCACTGATTTATAGAAGTGCAAAACCCTGCGGCTGTTAATGGATGATTAGAGCTGACCTGAATCCTGCAGAGCAAATCCACATTCATCAGACTAAATATTACTGTCGTAATAACTGTAATAACTGCACCACAGCGCTGAATTTACTACAGAATATAAAGCAAATGTCAGTCAAAAATAAATTTCTGAACATGTAATATTATAATTAATATAAATAAATTAATATTAATAAATTAATATAATAAATTAATAATATCAAATAATAAATAATAATTGCAGACATATATATATATATATATATATATATATATATATATATATATATATATATATATATATATATATATATATATATATATATATATATATATATATATATATATATATATATATATATATATATAT